AAAAAAAAAATATTTCTTTGGATTTTCAGTCTTTTATTGACTCCATGATGTCTTAAATACTGAACTAGTTTAGGTTTCTTTTCTCTTCCTTTTCTTTTTCTTCTTCTTCTTCTTYTTTTTTTWAATTTCATTTTAATTTTTGGTGGTGCTGAAGATGAAACCCAAGGCCTTGCCCGAGCTAAGCATTCCCCCTACTATTGCACTGCACCCCAGGCCCCAGTTTAGTTTTAATATTGAAACCAGTATCAGTTACCAAGTCTCTCATTTGCAGTTTTAACATTGATGAAAAAATAATGATAGGTTAACTCTCATTATTGCACTGCAGATATTTCAGCTTTCAGATGAAGTAGCAGAGACATGGGTTAAACGTATTTTTCAAGACCATATAGTAAGTGCCAGAGCCAGGGTTCAGACTCTAGACTGACTCCAAAGATTTTTCCTAGGGTTCTGCTTTCCAGAAGTGTATGTACTTGTCCTAGGAGCCTTTGAAAGGCTAGATCCAGACAAGAGTGCAAAAGCTTTCACCAGCCACTTAATTCCTATAAGCACAGATGTCCTTGAATTGGCAATGACTTAAGAGTAGAAAAAAGGAAACAAATTAGGGCAAGTAAACCAGATCCTGGATAGTTAGGGTTATAGAAGAGTATATTCTACTTATAGTGTATTCAGCTCTAGCAAAACTAGCCTAAAACTTGAAGAAAGTAAAACATGCATATCTAGTACAGTAGAAGCACTGCTTAGGTAATTTCAGCCCAGTGTATAGCTGCCAGTGTTAATGAGGAAGTTATTAAGACACTTGTTTTCATCATAATTGCATTATTTCCTCACTTGCTTGCTAAACACAACTTTCTGCTATTTGTTAAATATGCCTGTTATCCCCCATATGTTTTATTGGTACCTAAAATCTCCCATATTCCTACTGGCTTTTCTAAGAGTGGATATTGAAGAAACAACTACCTCACTCTGTATATCTGCCTCCTGTGGTCAAAGGTGCCTCCAGACACGGCTTCAATAAGGTTTCTTACTAAAAGAAGAGTTAAGAGACAGAACTGGTCCTAGAATTTATAACAAGTTCTCTTATACATTATTTTTCTCTTGAGAATTAGTCTTGTATTTCTGAACTCTTTAACTTCTATAAATCAGGAATTTAGTTACTTAGTTAATTTATTCCCTTCTGGGGAATATAGTAAATTCAGATTTGATAGACAGCACCATAAAACTTATAGTCATTCTCACTTTATCACTTTCCTGTGACAGCAAGGAATCTTATATGACGGACTTGTTGACTCTGCTTTTGAATTCCTTGGAAACATATCTAGTAGTTAAATTTTATTTTCATCTTCTCCAAGGGAGCATTTTCATCATTGTTATAACCTCAGGCAGGGTCATTATTTGTATGTACAAGATAAATTTTCTTTCTGCTTTCCTTCTGTCTCTGTCTTTTTCTTTTGAACCATAACAGGGTGAGTGATAACTAATGGCCTAAGTATAGAGATTGTTCTTCATACGAGGAAGTATTCCTTCCTTTTAAAACCTTTTTAACTCATAAGATCCAAAGGTCCTCTCTTAATAGGTATAAAATGGACAATATGGAGCATGAAATACATTATGGGAACTGTGAGCATGAGAAGTGTTTGATGACAGTAATTTAGGAAGAAAAACTCTGGCTAAAAAGTAAGATCTTGGCCAAGAGTTGAGAATTTCATTAAAAAGAACCAATATTCTAGTTAGCATTTGACTGTTTCCAGATCCTAAGGTTTGTGCTGTTGTCTCAGAAGTGAAAACTGTTGGCAACAACAGGTAGGTTTACCTGTCTGTCTGTTGCTCTTTCATAACTATCTTGGTTCAGGATTCAGACTTGAACCAAGTCATTACCAATAACTGTAGCGCTTCTACAGTCTCAATTTCATATTACACATACCTGKTCTACATTTTTATCTTGTTCTCTTGTAGTATCTTGACCCACAAAATTTTTTAGCCCCATGACACTTACAATCTTTTCTTCACCTCCTTGATGACTTCTCTCTTCTCACCTAAAAATCCATGGTTAATCATTATAATAATCATTCCCCTGGCATTTTCTTCCATTATTTCTCTTTTATTTCATCATACACACCTGTAGTTATAAAGCTCTGAATGTGACTGGAGAAAACCACACAACTGGTCTTCCTTGATATGCTTTCTTCCAGAATATCAAATGCTCTTCTTTTTTTTTTTTTTTCCCTAATTCATTGTCTATTTTTTCTCCTAGATCTCCTCTGCCCAGTGTGTGAGGTTGCTTGGACCTTGATAATTTCGATTGCCAGGCAGTCATTAGCATTTCTAATCCATTCAATTCTTCATTCTTTTAAATGATTACTTAACACCTTCTCTCCTCAAAGACCCAGCATTTCC